CTCATATTACATATATTTGGTGAAATTTGATATTTTTTTCCAAAAACAGAGGGTCTGAGGAGGTCCGCCCGGCGTCTAAGACTAGGTTTCAGACTCTTAGATTCTACCCGGGGAAATACTGGGGAATGCAGGAATACTGAGGAATACAGGAATATTGGGGAATACAGGAATACTGGGGATACAGGAATACTGGGGAATACAGGAATACTGGTGAATACAGGAATACTGGGGAATACAGGAATATTGGGGATACAGGAATACTGGGGAATACAGGAATACTTTGAAATACAGGAATATTGGGGATACAGGAATACTGGGGAATACAGAAATACTGGGGAATACAGGAATACTTGGGATACAGGAATACTGGGGAATACAGGAATACTATGGAATACAGGAATACTGGGGAATACAGGAATACTGGGGAATACAGGAATACTGGGGATACAGGAATACTGGGGAATACAGGAATACTGGGGAACACAGGAATACTGGGGAATACTGGAATACTGGGGAATACAGGAATACTTTGAAATACAAGAATACAGGAATACTGAGGAATACAGGAATATTGGGGAATACAGGAATACTGGTGATACTGGAATACTGGGGAAAACAGGAATACTGGGGAATACAGGAATACTGGGGAATACAGGAATACTGGGGAATACAGGAATACTGGGGAATACAGGAATATTGGGGATACAGGAATACTGGGGAATACAGGAATACTGGGGAATACAGGAATATTGGGGAATATAGGAATACTTGGGTATACAGGAATATTGGGGAACACAGGAATACTGTGGAATACAGGAATACTGTGGAATACAGGAATACTGTGAAATACAGGAATACTGGGGAATACAGGAATACTGGGAAACAGATAAAAGTTTATTAACAGAAAACAGACTATGGGAGAAGTTTGGAAATGAAATTTCGTTTTTTAAAAAGCTTCTGCAAAAATGAAAAAAATAAACAAATTTGTTTTTGCTATTGGTGTAGATTCTTTTGTGAGTATTGTTAAGGGTGGGAACATAAGTACTCTTTTAGATCAGTTCGTTTACGGTAGAATTGTTTAACGAAAGGTATACATAGGTCCGCACTGCACCCGGAACAGTTTCAGGTTTAATTGTTTAGAATGTTAGTTTAGTAGAAAATATGACACCAAAAAATATAAATCCCTCTGGAGTATTTTTTGAGAAAATTCTATTTAAGCATCGTTGTATAATATAGACTTAAAAAGGCGTTTGACTCAAACATTTTCTAAAAATCTTACATGCTAGTTTTAGACATAATCTACTTTTAGAATCAGTAATATTCTCAGGTCAGGTATCTCTTTTTAAACCCCCACTTAATAGCTGAGGTCAACGGTGACTTTCGACCTAATACAACACTTAAAATTAATTAAAATTAATTTCTTTAAATTATTTTTTTTTTAAAAAGAGCTTTGTCACAGGGATTTCAAATATGTTGTGTCATATCTTATATTAGCCTACTAAAGATGACTGAATTGATAAAACATCAAACCTGAATTTGCTCCCGGTGCACAGTGTCCAACAAGGAATAGTATTTAAATGCTCTCTAGTTTTTAACACTGTTTTGTCGATTTTTAAAAACGTTTGTTCCTTCACAAAACGTTAACTATCAAACAAAATGCACTTGGTTCTAAATTAAAAAATACTTCTCATCTTAATTTAGATCAATTCAAAAATAAAAAAAATTGTTTGCTATAGTTATTATTTTATTGCCAATTCTTTTCGATGGTTTCAACTCATAACTTAACGGTTCGTTAACGTCCATAATAATCTTCTGAATTAACTAGGGCGGATTGCGTTTGGTTTCTTCAATTTAAATTTAATCAAATTTTGGTTTATCATTCAACAAACTTCAAACTTCAAAGTTATCTGCATCCGCATACAATAGATATAAAAGAGGAAAAGGGAAAAATCGTGTTCGAAAGTAACATTTACCTGGAACTGTTAAACCTGCGTGATATGGATGTATACAAGTTATACAAACAGTGGAAAATATTTGTCTATTAGTTGTGCAAACTGAACAAAGAAAATATGTTTAGGGATGGAGATATTAGAAAATAAAACATGTTTTTGTTGTTTTGTGTTAGTGCCTCTGTTGTTGAGCTTCATAAACACCGGTTCGCCACAATCTGTACTTTATGATAATATTCAACATAAACTAAGATTGGGAAAAGAATTTGGTTTTTCTCATTATCGTGAATTGTGACCCGTCCCCTTCAAAAATCAAAACAAGCAATTTGTATACAAAGGAGATGGGCGCGAAGCTCCCTAAATGCTTTGTATTAATATAAATTGTTTGTTTTTAACATTTTTTGTGATAACTCATAAAGTATTCGAGCTTGGAAACTCAAATTTTCTGGCTTTTCTATCGAACACATTTCCATCACTTAAGGCTAAAAGCTGGGCTTTTATACCTACTGCCTGATTCAAGGCACTGCCTAAAGGCCTTATTTTACCTACAACAGACTATATCTATATTTAGACCTACTTCCAGTGATTGGATTTTAACATTTTATAGCTCTTTGGAAAGCTAAGAGAAAAATGAATAACTGGGTAGATGACAAACAATGAACATGAGAACGATTGCTAAGAGAACAATGAATACCTGGATAGATGACAAACAATGAACATGAGAACGCTTGCTAAGAGAACAATGAATACTTGAGTAGATGACAAACAATGAACATGAGAACGGTTGCTAAGAGAACAATGAATACCTGGGTAGATGACAAACAATGAACATGAGAACGGTTGCTAAGAGAACAATTAATACCTGGGTAGATGACAAACAATGAACATGAGAACGGTTGCTAAGAGAACAATGAATACCTGGGTAGATGACAAACAATGAACATGAGAACGGTTGCTAAGACCACAATAGAGAAGAATACCTGGGTAGATGACAAACAATGAACATGAGAACTGTTGCTTAGAGAACAATGAATACCTGGGTAGATGACAAACAATAAACACGAGAACTGTTGATTAGAGAACAATGAATACCTGGGTAGATGACAAACAATGAACATGAGAACTGTTGCTTAGAGAACAATGAATACCTGGGTAGATGACAAACAATGAACATGAGAACGGTTGCTAAGAGCACAATTGCTAGATTGCACTCCTTACTCTGTTGAACAGCCCGCCTTTCCCTGCAATAAATTGTGAAATTAACGATGATTCAATTGTACAATAGGGGGGGGGGAGCTGCCCCTCTTTAATAAAATTTTCTCTTTTTACCATGTATATTACAAGACCCACCACCCCTGAGAATAAATCCTGTATACTTCAATCAGGGTTGAAAGTATATGTGATATGTATAAATTACCTTGATAGTTAAACAGACCAGAAATTGTAAGAAAAGTATTCTGATAAACAAACCAAAGATTTTTTTGTATAAAATATTCCTGAGCTTACCTCAAAGCCTCAGCCAGAGGATTAGCAGGCTGAGCGAGTCTGTCAGTTGGGGATACTCTGTAATATTTATAATCAAACTCATGGCAGGGGATACTCTGTAATATTTATAATCGAACTCATGGCAAGGGATACTCTGTAATATTTATAATCGAACTCATGGCAGTGGATACTCTGTAATATTTATAATCAAACTTATGGCAGTGGATACTCTGTAATATTTATAATCAAACTCATGAAAGTGGATACTCTGTAATATTTATAATCAAACTCATGGCAGGGGATACTCTGTATTAGTTATAATATCAAACTTATGGCTAGGGATACTCTGCAATATTTAAAATCAAACTTATGGCTAGGGATACTCTGTAATATTTATAATCAAACTTATGGCCCGAGATTTACTCTGTAATATTTATAATCAAACTCATGGCAGGGGATATACTCTGTAATATTTAAAATCAAACTCTTGGCTGTGGATACTCTGTATTAGTTATAAAATCAAACTTATGGCCGTGGATTTACCCTGTAATGTTTATAATCAAACTCATGGCAGTGGATATACTCTGTAATATTTATAATCAAACTCATGGCAGTGAATAAAGTCTGTAATATGTATAATCAAACTTATGGCAGTGTATATACTCTGTAATATTTAAAATCAAACTTATGGCAGTGAATTTACTCTGTTATATTCATAATCGAACTTATGGTAGTGGATATACTCTGTAATATTTAAAATCAAACTTATGGCAGTGGATTTACTTTGTAATATTTATAATCCAACTCATGACTATTCCCTTTTCTTTCATTAAAATGTATTTAAACTACCAAAAAGTGGACTTTAAAAAGCAGGTTAGCTTTCTTTTGTAGGAGTTTCTAATTTATGATAAGTTGTCGTAAAATATCCCTTTTACCTCACATAAGAATAAAAAGGAAGATGAATAAGCTAAACAATAAGTAAGCTAAACTGCTCTTTTAATGAGAAAAAATTCTAAAGAACTCCGTTTTTTGGGTGAAAGTAGACTCAATGTAATTAGGCTTCCAACTTTTGACATTTTTTGGCATGTATTCATGACAAATTTTGGTAAATTTAATGATAAAAAATGCGTGCTCCGTAATTTTTGTGAGCGGTTTCAAATGACGGAGCCCTTTTTGTGATGCAACTTTTGAAACCTTAAAAAAAATATTATGTGTTGAATTTTCTTTTTTTCTGTCATGTGTCACTTTTTCAAATGTCATTTTTAACCTTTTGACATTAATTTGTTAAGCAAAGCTCAGACCAAGGTTAATTTAATTTTCCAAACACTAGGAGAATTATCTTGTCACGAAAGGAGGGATACATTATTTATTCGTTTTTTTGCATTTATACTACTTGTCTGTCAGTTAATTGCTTGAAACCCAAGTAATTAACCAAAGGAATTAATTTGTTGATGTTTTTATCTGTAGAAAAATTTTTTATTTTAATGCTACACGAATATGATAAAAGTATTAGAAGCAAAACTACTTATTTCTAGTAAATGAGGCGCGAAGCATCCTGGATTTCTAGTGTTATATATCTTAGAAATAAGACTAAAAAATTGCGTACAGCCGTCTCTGAAGTCTCATCCTTTGTGAATAATCCTGTTTATTACCCTCTGTTCCCAGTGCTCTGATTAATCCTCTTCTTGAGATCCTTGAGAGCAACATAGATCTGGGTGTTTAGAACTACCAGAACCAAGAAGGGAATTAAACCTGAAAACATAGATCTGGGTGTTTAGAACTACCAGAACCAAGAAGGGAATTAAACCTGAAAACATAGATCTGGGTGTTTAGAACTACCAGAACCAAGAAGGAAATTAAACCTGAAAACATAGATCTGGGTGTTTAGAACTACCAGAACCAAGAAGGGAATTAAACCTGAAAACATAGATCTGGGTTTTTAGAACTACCAGAACCAAGAAGGGAATTAAACCTGAAAACATGAAAATTAACGGGACCGTGTCTGTTTATTCTGTGTCTGAGTAACAATAAAAAAATATCTTCATTTTTAGATTTGAAAAAAAATCAATTCTGTCAATAAACCATTAGTTTTCATATTCTCCAACATGTTTGCGTAGACAAATATTTGAAATTCTTCTTTTCCAGTAGTCGGAACTTTAGTGTTTGAGGAACGTTAATCTTGAACGCTAGATCTCAATATCCAATGTGATCACTTAGAAATTTGAGAATAAAATGCTTAACCCTTCAATTAAAATTATCCCTGCAGGATATGACAACTACAGGATATCTAAGAGAATTTGGATTAAGTTGGAGATCAATGATTAATCCTGAGATTAACACCAAAAAAAAGTTCTTTCGGATTTTCTTTGATCAGTTATTGAAAGGAATTGAGTCTCTGCCACAAACTCTGATTTTTTAATCCCTATATGTTAGTAACCCAATTTCTTATACCTTAGATATTTCAAACTATGCATTCTGTTAGATCAAATACTCTAATATTGAAATATCAAAGGATAACACCAGAATATTACGAAGATATGAAGATTAGAAAATTTGACTCAATTCTGCACTTTTAAATACACCTTACACGTAATAGAGTTAATCAAATAAAGCAAATCTAAAGAAACTGCATAAGTTCTGCAAACCCAGTGTTTCAAAGCAATGTGCGAAAATCTATCAAGCCTTGCAGTGCTGTCATCATACTACATTTTTATAAAACGAAAAACACTAGACTGGGACCAAGAAACTCCATTTCTGAAAACCACCTCTGAATAACTAAATACTAAATTATACTCATGCTAAAAGTCTTGTATTGCACCTCTTTTTTGGCAAACCCTGACAATCATAAAATGCGATATCCAGAGAAAAGAGTAATAGTTTGTAAACGTTTATATTGTTTAATGTAATTTTGCTTTAGACAAATATAAATGATGAATATATAAAAGAAAGAGATAATTTTAAAAATTGTCAACATCTGAAACATCTAATTCAGAAGCTTAAAATTTCAATGTTTTAAATTGGTTTCAAGTTTAAAATATTAAATATTTTAAAATTAATAAAACTACCTGTCAGAACAACCCAGCCCCAAGTTCCTGAAAGAAATGACTAAATAGAATAAATTTTAAAATTTTCAAGATTATTTTTTTGTGCACAACAAAAAAAATCAGGACAGTTTACAACTAATGAGTAAATAAGTTAAAGAATCTGAATACCTTACAAACTCTAATTCTCTAACTTAAATCTTTGTAACCAGATGGTATAAACCTTTGATATTTCAAACTTTGGCTCTTAGTTAGAATTACAATTGCTTGGAATATCAAAAAAAATCTGATTGCAAAGATATAGGGATTAGAAAATTAGGGTTTGAGGCAATTTTTTCAGTACCTTTTTCAAAATAATTTTGTCAACATAAAAAAATGTAATTTGTACTTTTTAAGTACTTGTACTTTATTTTTATCTTTATTTGAATTCGTATTTATTTCAGAATAACATTATATTACTAATTTATAGATGGGTTTCGATCGTTCTTAAAAATTGTATAAAGAAATATATTTTTTCGGTTCGATGTTAAAAATCACGAAATGAAAGTTTCAAATCTTTTGAAACAAAAATGAAATCATAAAATCGTAATTTAAATACCAAAACGATCGTTTGGAAAAGAAAAACGAACATATGTTTTGTGGAAAGGTTTCTGAATAAAGATAAATTTACCCTTGCTAATGTGTTTTTAATAACGTGCACAGGTGCCCCGGCTTTCCCCTTCCATGTATCTTGCGCAAAAACTAGACGTGTACACCATCCCCCCGTCTAACAATACACTTTTTTGCACTGGTACTGGTTTAATAAGTCCCCCCTCCTCTCCCCCCCCTCAAAAAATAAAAACTATTCAGAATTTAGAATCATGTAAGAACAGGTTTGAAAGCAAAACAAAAATCGGGAAACCACCCGTGGATTTCTTCAAAAAATTCAGCCCATTTGATCCAGTCTTTTGGGCAGCTATAACGAACAAATATATATATATATATATATGTATGCCGTAGTATATCATCAAGTTGAAAGCTCTCAAAAGATAGAGGTAGAGGATTTATAATCTAAAATGAGTATTCCTTGATGTAGGAATTAATGTAATTAATTGATTATGTTTTGACTTTATATAATTCGTAAACTATTTTGTGAATTATGTAGAACCCAACCTTTATTCATATAATGGCTGAAATTAGACATAAAATAAAAGATTTAGAAGTTTCATACTTGTTAAGAAACTTGGTTCAAAGTTTAATCTTAACCTATTCAACAGAGTTGATTGAGATCAAGGAAAATGATTTGAATTAGTTAATCCGTCCATTCAAAAGTTAAGTGATCAGCTTACCGTAGTAGATTATGTATTCCCTGTTCAGCCGAAGTTTTGTAGGTTTGACGTAAACGCTGAAAATATTAGAAGTACAGTGGTTTAATATATCTAACCAATAAAATACTTTTCTAATTTGGGAAATTATTAAACTATGTTTAAAAATTTAAGAAAATACATTTTATAGATATTTTTCCTCTAATATCAATTGGATATCTTAGGAGTGCATAAAGTATGCTGCATAGAAGAGAAAAAATCATAATTCAGATACTGTATGTTTTAGAAGTAATGTACATGTCATGTTTTTATTTTAAAGGGGGTAATAAACATGCGTTTAATCAGAGATATCAAATAGTCTCGGAGTTTAATTAATCTGTGGCCGAATTTAAAGAATTTGAGCGGCGGTTTGAATTTAAGCCGCGGCTTAAATATGGTTGGTTCCACTTAAAATTGTATCAAATGTTTCAAGATTTAAGCCGGCGCTTAATTTAAACCGGGTTTTGGCGGATTTTGGCGGATTTAAACTGCGGCTCAAATTCTTTAAATTCCATCTCAGGTCTGACATGAATCAAAACGTAGATGTCAGGTTTTTAACATTTCTTTTTGACTAGTAATAAACATCATTTTAAATATTATAAATATACATAAATACAATACATTAGTCAAAAAAAAAAATAAAATATAAAGCATGAAAATGAGGAAAGGAGGTGAGGGAAAAAAGGAAAAAAAGAATGTTGTACTATTGATTTCAATGAGTAACAGTAAAGGGGAGAAGATTGAAAGAGTATTCATCAAAACCTTGAATTTTTCAGTAAAAAACTAAACTCCTTCTCTGAAACTACTTTAAAATTTTAAACCTTATAATGAAGTATTAGTACATATTGAGCGCAGGATTATAATTTCTACAGAAACATTTAGAAAACTTGGATTAAACGTTTTAAATAAATAAAGTTGATAAAGTTCTTTAGAGGATTGAAGCTGGTACATTTTTGGAGCAAACCACCTTTATATAAACTAAAGGAGTATATCAATTCAATTTTAAAGTTTTTAAGTTAAAGACCGCCAATTTTGGCATATGCAAATCCTATGATTAAAGTTTTGGTTTAAAACAGTATAGCTATGTAAGACTGTGAAAAGGAACTGAGTTTTGTCACAAACTTTGATTTTCTAATCCCTGTAACTTTGCTCGCACCTCTGACCCTTCAGTAAAAGTAAATTCAACCTAAAGTCTGACCGCGTCAATCTTGTTGCACCGGCTAGTCCTATTAAGTGCCTGCTTTATTTAGCCAATGTCCGTGCGATACAGTACAAACTGGGACCGGAAAGGTTGACCCGGCTCGGAAATCAAAATGTACTACGGCTGCCCGTGAATGGAGTTGACCTTTGATATTTCAAACTATGAAATCTGTTAAAAAGATCAGTTAATCTAAGTTTGAAATATAAAAAATTTCCACCATCAGGTTGCAATGATAAAGGGATGAGAAGAACTCAGTTTCTTTCTTTAAATTTAATTATAAATATATGTCTATATATCGTAGTTTAATAATGTTTATGGAGAATGGGGGGATTTATGAAGGATATTGAAATGAATCATTGATCATGCCAGAAAATTTTTCAATTTTATCTTGAAGGAACTGTAATAGTGATTTCAAGTAACCCCGCATGCACAGATAGAAATGCACTATTGTTTCAGTAGAAGTAAATATTTCCATTTACTGATAGCGCTGATTAAAGGATTCATAACTCTAATTGGATAATGAGATAGATGTTAACGCAATACAATTTCTATTGGTTCAGAATAGAAAATAAACACATGACTAAACCCTGATTGGATCAGGCGCTAATGGACTCGGCATACTGGATTGAATGGCTGATTTGCAAGGGAACCCTTAACAGCTTTCTATGGTAAGAATGAATTAGATAACCATGTTTTTGTTTCTTTAAACTGTTTATTTTCATTTTCGGTTTCTCTGCGAAAGTGACGTGCACAATTGCTTAAAAGAAGCAATATCAGTATTAAATGCTTTTGGAGTCAGAATAAAGACGGTATCGCAAACGTTTGTCACCAATTCTCCAATTTTCTCTGAGCTATCATAATTTATAAAATCATAGAATATTTTTTACAAAAGTTTTATTTGTGTGAACACAAAGGTTGAATTATGAATATGATGATGATCCAGTATCTAAACCTCATTTTGGAACAAACAATAATTATGGATTTAATAATATCAACTTCCATAAAATACTTAATTTGTGACATAATTTCCATATTTCTCGGGAATCCATTGAAACCCAAGTTAATTTGGAATAAACCAACAACAAAAAATGGTTCCTTACTTTTTCTTTTAACGTACTTTTATTCAATTTTATCATTTCTAATGGCGCAATTCAATTTACAAAAATATTGATGGTAGAAAACTATATTTTTGTTTTCCTTGTATTTAATCTAAATATCTATCTATCTATCAATCTACAAGCCATGCAATTTACACCGATCTAGAGGAATTTGAACCTTTTCAATTCAGTGATTTCTTTACTTTTGCTTTGACCAAATTTGTTTGCCCAGTTCTCATAATGTGAATATGTTTATTTACTTTAAGGAACCTGATTACAAGGAACTCTCCAATTACAGATTTGTATGTCCGAACCCCGGAGGTTTAAAGGATATCTTCTACATTATTGATCAGATTAAGGTTTAAAGGATATCTTCTACATTATTGATCAGATAAAGATTTAAAGGATGTCTTCTACATTATTGATCAGATAAAGGTTTAAAGGATATCTTCTACATTATTGATCAGATAAAGGTTTAAAGGATATCGTTGGGAATCTTTGAGTTTAAGGTCTCTTGAAGTTACAACGACAATCCCTTTAAGATCGGTTGAACTAGAACTACTTGTTGGGAAAAAATAAATATTTACCGTATCCGTTTAGACGATCTAAACATGAAGGGATTATAAAATAAATATTTACCGTATCCGTTTAGACGATCTAAACATGAAGGGTTATAAAGTAAATATTTACCGTATCCGTTTAGATGATCTAAACATGAAGGGATTATAAAATAAATATTTACCGTATCCGTTTAGACGATCTAAACATGAAGGGATTATATAAAATTTGCACTGTTAGAATTACAAACTCTAAGATGGAGCGCATGATTCAATGTATTATTAATTGTTCAAAGAAACTGACCTTAAAATCAAACTTTCTAATTCCTATATCATTTCAACCTGATTTGATAAACCATAGATATTTCAAACTTTTACTGATTGCTCTAGCAGAAAGTCATGGTTTAAAACATTAAATTTACAAAATCAGTGTTTGTGGCAAGCGTTCAGTTCCTTTTTTGCGTAAAGTATGAGTATAGAAGTATATGTTTGACAGAAGAAAATGCCATACACGCATCCCATATACTAATGACGTAATTTCGTGAAAAATTGAACAGTACATTTTGTAAATTACTTTACTATTTTGTAAAAAGGTTTACTTTACACTTGACAAAAAAAATTTTTTTTACTTTACAATAAATTATCATTTCTTAATCCTTTTATTGTTGTGTTAAGCATAGAGAATAGAGATGGGCATTGTGTTTGTGAACAAACGAATTTTTTGATAAAAACAACATTTTTCGTGAACATTGGTGTCGTTCAGAAAAAAAATTAACGATAAAAACTAGCATCGTCCAAACGATTGTTTTATACTGAACAATCTAATTTTACAAAAAAAATAATAAAAATTATCGTTTTTCACTGGCCGAAAGATTTTTTGAAACAAAATTTTAAATAACGTTATTTTTTACTCAAGAACGACTTTTTCAACCAAGCCTTGAGGAAACGATTTTACTGAACGAACTGTTTTATTAAACGAACGATTTTACTGATTAAACGCTTTTACGGAACGGTCATTTGGTGAGAAAACGAAAGAAATGGATGAAAAAATGATAATTTTAAGAACCAATTTTTTAATCGTTTAAAATAACGAACGAAATGAAAAAAAAACTAAACGCGCACATCTCTAGCTAAGCAATGGTTTAAATTACATGACCATACAACTTTTACGTTGCATTGTGCGCTAGATCAGTTTTTAGATACGAACAGTGCAGTAAAAGGGTATATTGAGTACATTAACGGGGTTGTTACAAGTAAATATATAAAGGCATAGATTAATTAAAATAACAGATAGAACATTTAATGTCGTCTTTTCAAGATTTATATGTGTTTTGTTTAAAATAACCCTGAGGCAGAAGCCTAAAGGAGTTACATGTAGTCGGCTTAGAACAGGCACTCTCTCTGTCTATGCTGAATACGCGTAACTCCTTTGGGCTTCTGCCTCAGGGTAATTGTGAACGAAACACACAAAACTCTTGAAAAGACTACATCTAGTGTCCTTTCTGCTATTTTTATTAATCTATGCATAAAGGGATTGTATCAAGGGATTGTTACAAGTGACCGGTTGATTAAATAGAAAATGGCATCAACAAATCACAGTTAAAGTTAAAAAAACTACGCATATCTATCCAATAAATACAATATAAATATATATAATTCAGATATGCCTCAATAATTTTCATAAAGGTTTAAAGGGAACAGTTGCAATAGTTGATGGCACTTTTTAAAAATTAGTTTGAGATTATATTTACAATCCCTTTAAATATAAGGAGAGGGGTGCATATTTAGTTTTCACCTTTGGTAATAAAACTAGTAGAACAATAGCTTTTGTTCAAATATTACTTTGAATTTTGCACAAGGAATTCTTAACACAACTTATTATTCATAATTGTAATCTGAGATACAATACAAATTATTAAGATTGCTTTCATGTGGAATCTCTGAAATAATGTACTGTTGGACCCATTCAACTTTGGAATACGAAGGCGACATATAATGAGTCTTGTATGTACTTGATGTTGTACAAGTTGAAGTGTTGTACCCGTAGCATGAAAATCTATTTCAGTCGTATTCTCTTTCCATAGTTTTTTTGTCCCACTGAACAGTTTTCGAAATATTTTTACTTTTGTATAATTGGAATTTGGAAAATGGCATTTGGATTTTTGTCTTTTATTTTTGTAAAAGTATCTAATATTTAACAAAGATATTGTCTGTTAAGTTCTAGTTTAAGTCAAAGGTGAAAAGGGTTTGATTTGGTTGCATGAGTGTAACAACAATGGAGTTAATTTGAACATTTAACATTTAACATCAATCATGAAAAAGGATCGTAAAAAAATATTGTTGACCAGATCAATTAATAGGAAAAATCAAATTATGATATGATCTAGTTTTGATCAGAGTTAGGAACTCTTGTATTGTGGATATGGTTTTGTTAATCTACAGATTAATTTGATTGTTGATCCATATCCAGTGGTAATAGTAGCCTGGAGGAATAAATATAATGACGGCATTGATCCTCAAAATAAAACAGACCGCAGTGGATATGGAGATCAAGCGATTGGGCTTATAAATACCCAACAAAAAAGTTCCAGGCTCAGATCAAATATTGATCAGATCAAATACTGATCAGATTAAACTTACAATTAATCAGATCAAATATTGATCAAATTAAATACTGATCAAATTAAACTTACAAATGATCAGAGTTACATCCACACTGAGTGAAATCAATGCAGACGCTGGCAGATTCGGTTTCAAGGAATCTAATCAAACACAAACTTAATTGAGAAACATATTTTTTGTAAAAATTAAATCCAGTTTCATGGGATAAATAGATATTAACAGAATAAAGTAAATTTAAAAAACTGAATATGGAAGGGAAATAATATGTTGTCATGGGGGTTTCAATTGGCTTTTAGAAAAATAGTTCAGAAAGTAAATATTACGCAACAAATGTGATTTTTCAAAATGACATCAAAAACCGGGTCGGGAAAAATGTCTACATGTTAACATTATTTTTAGAATATTCGCAAAAAAAGATAAGTGTCCGAATTTAGTGAATTTAAGCCGCGTCTTAAAAACCCCCAAAACCGGTTTTGATTGAGCGCCGGCTTTTTAAGTGGAACCAACAATATTTAAGCCGCGGCTCATATTCCTTAATTCGGCCTCAGGATAAAAGGAAAACTTGGGGGGATCTTTAATAACCAAAGTTATAATCGCAAACATTTAAGATTTTGATTCGATCTAAAGTTCTATGGTCTTGTTCATGAAATGTTAAATCATGGTCCATGGATAGTGTCGCGTTTGCAACTTAAACAGAGTTTCCCGCCAATTAAAAAAATCCCGCCATTTTGAAGAACATTTCCCGCCATTTTTAACAAAATTTCCCGGCAAAATTCCATAATTTCTATTAACCTTGAAGTGTTGACCAGGAGAGCTAAAAGAATACTTGGTAGAATATAAAGGAATGCTCTACTGCCCTGAGTCTGAACCTCTCTAAATATAAATACTTTTTACAAAGGAAATACCAGGCCCGTAGTGAGCGGGGCACAGGGGCAAAGCCCCCTTTTCTTCCTGAAAGGGGGGCGCAGTGAGAGCATATTATCTGAGACAAAAAAAAGAAGAAAAGGAAACGAAAAGTGAAAAAAGGAGTAAAAAAAGGAAAGAAATAATTTTTTCCAACAGTATGTGTTGCAGGTTATTTTCTTCAAATTTCAAAAATTGTCTGCAAAAAATTGAAACGTTAAGGCCCGGCGAGAAGATTGAGCACAGAATTGTTTTCTTAAAGGGACAAACGAGACAGACCTGTTATGTAAGGTAGTTAAACTGAGTATGCAGTGTTATGGACAAATTCTTTAGGATTCATTTAAGACATATAAAACGTTTCTACAATGTATACACGATATAATTACTGAATTTTAGCGCAAAGTCAACGTTTAAAATGATGAAATTGGGGGGGTCACGTTTTCAGAATCGGTTTTTTTTAATAATTATATAACGACGGCGAAAATTTAGTAAAAAATCTACAGTTTAAACTAATTAGATGTTTAGGAACATATTTCTCAAAATAAATTTGTCAATAAATCGAAGTTAGAATTAATCATTTCCTTTTTAATCATTATATTGAATTTCTTATTTTCTATGAATTTGTTCGCAGATTTCTTCAAATTCTTCAAAAGTCGTCTTTTCAATAAAAATTCCAGAAAATCTGCAGAAAATCTTTGTGATAAAAGAGAGATTATAGAAACTAATAACAGAATAAGATTACTTACTTTCGATTATAAGAGTTAATTTTTATTTTCTCAACCTGTTCCTAAACAACTCATTAGTTTACTGTAGAATTTTGTTTGATTTTTTTGTTGTCGTTATTTAGTAATTAAAAAAAAAAAACAATTCTGAAAACGTAATCTACCCAAAAGTACGATTTTAAACGCCGACTTTGTGCTCAAACTCAGGATTTACAAAGCTTTGAAAGATTTTAAATGTCTCAACTGAATCCTAAATAATTTGTCCACAACACTGCATACTCAGTTTTTACTTTACATAACTGGTCTGTTCCTTTAAGCCCTAAAAACCAGAATTGTAAAAAGGATAAAATTGCAGTTTTCTGACGTTTTATGCTCTCCCATGAGACTGAGATAATATCAAGGAATTCAATACTTTAAAAGGAACTCATTTCGAGAACACAAAACTTTCATGTAATCTTTTTAAAATTATCATGTTGGATCTAGCTAGAGTGGGGCGTCGTCTTTGTATGGTTTTTTTATACGGGTTTCTTCACCATTGGCTCAACAGGAATCTGAGAGTTTAATATACAACTAAAGTTTATTTTTATTGCACGATCCTAAATTTTACGTGATGTCATAAAAACAGACTTGTTGTGAATAAATTTTGATATTTATACGCCTTTTTTGAAGTCTTTTAAAAGTCTGGAAAGTTGTGAAACCCCATAACCCCATGCTCTTGTCGTAAAAATTCAAAAAAAAATCAAAATATATATACTTTGTTTCCAGAAAAAGTGGAAAATGTTTATGTTTACAATACAGACCATAATACATTATACAAATATTTTTGTTTCCAGGAAAAAACATCATTGAAAAATGTTTTTATTTCCAGGAAAAAACATATTAATGAAAAATATTTTTGTTTCCAGGAAAAAACATAATAATTGAAAAATATTTTTGTTTCCATTGAATACAATAAGTGGAAAATATTTTTGTCTGCAGTGACACCATAATAAAATGATATTAAATAGATAACTGTGTAAACCCTGAAATAGATAATTTCGTGACCCCTGAAATAGATAATTATGTAACCCCTGAAATAGATAATTATGTAACCCCTGAAATAGATAATTATGTAACCCCTGAAATAGATAATTATGTAACCCCTGAAATAGATAATTATGTAACCCCTGAAATAGATAATTATGTAACCCCTGAAATAGATAATTATGTAACCCCTGAAATGTGCTGATACAAGTACAATTTCTGAGCCAAAAAACTGGTTATTATTCCTCTACAGCCAAAACTTTCAAATATTCAAGAGAGAGAGAGAGATTTCAAATATGGTATATTATGGAACTAGAATTCTTAGCTATAGTACAGGGTTACCCACAAAGGATAAGACTGTGAAGACTGTAATAAATATCGTAGCAATCCTTATCTTTTTAAACCTGAACTCATCTAGATATATTACGTTTTACATTGTAACCTAAATATGTTTAAAAATAACTATGTCAAACCTGTATTGCGATTAAACCTAACTACGCTATCAATAGCAACGTAAAATACATTTATGTATACAACAATGAGAAAGTTTCAATTGTATATTATTGGTATAAAAAAATGTCTGTCAAACTAAGAAACATGTTTACGGTTGCCTTGCATGGAACCATTGATCGTGATAAAGCAAGGACTGAAACATTTTTGCACAACTTCCTAAGAGTAGGGTTTCCCGCGGAAGGGGGAAATCGTTTCGCAAAAATATCGGCGAAAAAGGCGTAATTTTTGCGATACGATTTCTCCATTTTTTGTTTCTAACGAACCCCTACCTTGGCGTCTCATCGTTTGTTTATAACTCTGTCTATGGTTGAAATAAAAAAATATATGGTTATCTTGTTTTCTCTCATGGTTTCAAAGTTGCTTCTGAAAAAAGATCCCTTGGGTCGAATACATGAATTTACATCCAGGGTATAGAATACAAAATAGTTTTGAATTTTGTATCCTATTGCAAACACATTGCCAAAGTTTCACGAGAGATTAACTTAAATTGTGTCTATTTTTCCAAATGTGCACTCTGCGTAAGTAGATTCAAGCATTCTTATAAAAGCCTTTTTTAGATATTAGATGAGAGTGAAGTTGAAAAATGTATTAAAAATTCTCTGGAAAAAAAAACTTCCTTTAACACAATTCCAAAAAATATTTGATAATGTAATTTGTTGAGCATGAAGCCCATTACAAAGAATTTTGAACCATTTTTCCAGCCTTAATTAATCTAATTATATAAATTTTAAATATCTTCGAAACTCGAAATGGATCTAATTCAGCATTAAACTTCCAACACAACAAGCATGACATAAATGTAGTAAATTTCGAAACCATAATGGGGACCGAGCGCTGCGGCTATAATGGGCAAGGGGGTTGAGCGCTGCGGTTAGAGCATTATAGAGGCCCGCCGGTTAGAACAGAATTGTCAAGTTACCATTGCAAATTTGCGATGTTGTTACTTGTGAAAATACCCATAATACTTCCTTAAAAGACTCCAAAATTTAACCCTCTGATTGTTGGACAAAAGAGCGCTAAGTCGTCATTAAAGCCTCATTCTGAGTGGTTAACCCAGTATAATGTTTGATATAACCTGTAGTGGTGGGGTCTGCACACTGCCAGATAACGTTCTATAGCAACTCCAATTATCAGGTAGATAGATGCACACAGAGATATTCTGAATAAAGACAATAGTTTTAACTCTAATCAATCCCCCCCTTCCCCATCCTTCTCATTAAAGGACTGTAAGCGTAATTTCAAATGACCCTACATGCTTAGAAGGCAATGCCCGATTTACTAGTACAGAGATATGTGAATGTAAACCTATCAAAACCGGCTAGTATTCGACCGAATATTCTGGTGTACGCTGTGCTGAATTAATGTGTACAACGTCTTGTTTTTTATTAAAGAAATCGGAATGTGAGTGTGCAGAGGCCGCGATTAAAATAATAAGTGTATCAAAAGTGTCAAGAGTAAGCTGCTATTCAGATTAAAATAAGAATCAAGCATTAATATGTGTTGAAACAAGGAGATGTATGGGAACAGTACCTTTGCGGTGGGTAGTGCAATGTACGGAAACATTACCTGTGCAGTGGGTAGTGTATGTAGAGGAACAATACCTGTACAGTGGGTAGTGTATGTACGGTAAAAGTACCTGTACAGTGGGTAGTGTATGTACGAAAACAGTACCAGTACAGTGGATAGTGTATACACGGGAACAGTACCTGTACAGTGGGTAGTGTATACACGGGAACAGTATCTGTACAGTAGGTAGTGTATTTATACAGGTCTAGTACCTGTGCAGTGGGTAGTGTATGTTCGGGAACAGTACCTGTACAATGGGTAGTGTATGTACGGGAAAAGTACCTGTACAGTGGGTAGTGTATGTACGAAAACAGTACCAGTACAGTGGATAGTGTATACACGGGAACAGTACCTGTACAGTGGGTAGTGTATTTATACAGGTCTAGTACCTGTGCAGTGGGTAGTGTATGTTCGGGAACAGTACCTGTACAATGGGTAGTGTATGTACGGGAAAAGTACCTGTACAGTGGGTAGTGTATGTACGAAAACAGTACCAGTACAGTGGATAGTGTATACACGGGAACAGTACCTGTACAGTGGGTAGTGTATACACGGGAACAGTATCTGTACAGTAGGTAGTGTATTTATACAGGTCTAGTACCTGTGCAGTGGGTAGTGTATGTTCGGGAACAGTACCTGTACAACGGGTAGCGTATGTACGGGAACAGTACCTGTACTGTGAGTAGTATATGCACGGGAATAGTACCTGTACTAAAGGTATTGTATGTACGGGAACAATTCATGTACAGTTGGGAAAGAATGTACGGGACCAGTACATTTACAGTTGGTAGTGTACGGGAGCAGTACTTGTGCAGTGGGCATTGTATGCACATTGCACGGAACCAGTACTTATACAGTTAGTGTATATGTACGGGAACAGTATCTGTACAGTGAATGGTATTTTTACAGGAACAGTACCTGTACAGTGGGTAGTGTATGTACGGGAAAAGTACCAAGAAGAGCTGCGGGTACAAACTGTCGAAACTATTTCGAACCGAATCACAGATTGCGAAGATGATGTGAAGACTGAAATAAAATATTTAAATTTTTTAATATTTCTTTAAATTAATTAATCCTTAGTTTACTTTCCTTAAATCGTTGATTTAATTCTTTTTAATGTCAATTTAAAAATTGATTCATTTATTCACTTTTCATTTCAACAGTCCTTTCCTTCATTTTTTAAATCAATCATAAATTTTAAATTTTGTTTATTGGCGAGGAATTTTCGAAATGAAAGAAATTAATCTATCTTTTATATTCTCATTTGTTTGTTTATCATCTATTTTATGAATTGATTTATTATTTCTTTTCTATGAAATATCCCTTTCTTAGAATATTCCGAATACTTGAGGCCAAATTAAACCTAATTACTATAAGATCCGGAATGTGCTGCTCTATACCTTAAACTCTCAAATTTGAAAGTTTAATTTATAATTATCTCAGATAAATATATAATTGTGAAAAAAATGCGGAAAAAGTTTCAATGATAAAACTATTAACATTTTCAAAAAAAATCTGCAAAACTTTTAAACAATCTCTGTAGATATTTAAATTAATTATCAGCTCAGGTAATTTAAGTATATATCGTAGATGAAATTTAAGTATATATCGTAGATGAAATTTAAGTATATATCGTAGATGAAATTTAAGTATATATCGTAGATGAAATTTAAGTATATATCGTAGATGAAATTTAAGTATATATCGTAGATGAAATTTCCCCAATTTCCTATTGGAGCTCCATACAATATGCTGTACAGTGTAGAATAAATCAACCATATACCGTACAGCGTAGAATAAATCAATCATATACTGTACAGTGCAGAATAAATCAACCATAAACTGTACAGTGTTGAATAAATAAACCATATACTGTACAGTGCAGAATAAATCAACGATATGCTGTACAGTGTAGAATATATCAACAATATGCTGTACAGTGTAGAATAAATCAACCATATACTGTACAGTGTAGAATAAATCAACAATATGCTGTACAGTGTGGAATAAATCAACCATATACTGTGCAGTGTAGAATAAATCAACAATATACTGTACAGTGTAGAATAAATCAACCATATACTATACAGTGTAGAATAAATCCACCATATACCGTACAGTGCAGAAAAAATCAACCATATACTGTACAGTGTAGAATAAATCAACCATATACCGTGCAGTGTAGAATAAATCAACCATATACTGTACAGTGTAGAATAAATCAACAATATGCTGTACAGTGTAGAATAAATCAACAATATGCTGTACATAATAAATTAACAATATGCTGTACAGTGTATAATAAATCAACAATATCCTGTACAGTGTATAATAAATCAACAATATGATGTACAGTGTGGAATAAATCAACCATATACTGTGCAGTGTAGAATAAATCAACAATATACTGTACAGTGTAGAATAAATCAACCATATACTATACAGTGTAGAATAAATCCACCATATACCGTACAGTGCAGAAAAAATCAACCATATACTGTACAGTGTAGAATAAATCAACCATATACCGTGCAGTGTAGGATAAATCAACGATATACTGTACAGTGTAGGATAAATCAACGATATACTGTACAGTGTAGATTAAATCAACGATATGCTGTACAGTGTAGAATATATCAACAATATGATGTACAGTGTAGAATAAATCAACCATATAATATGCAGTGTAGAATAAATTAACGATATACTGTACAGTGTAGGATAAATAAACAATATGCTGTACATTGTAGAATAAATCAACCGTATACTTTACAGTGTAGAATAAATCAACAATATGCTGAACAGAGTAGAATAAATCAACCATATACTGTACAGTGTAGAATAAATCAACGTTATGCTGTACAGTGTAGAATAAATCAACGTTATGCTGTACAGTGTAGAATAAATCAACAATATGATGTACAGTGTAGAATAAATCAACCATATACTGTGCAGTGTAGAATAAATCAACAATAGATAAGATAAGATAAGATAAAGTTTATTGCTAATATACATGTATCTGTGTACAGAACGAGTTTACAATTACAAATTGATGATTTTATTAACAGTACAAGTATAAAGCAATTAGGTGGAAAATAGCTCTTGGCTGTTTTGATTATTTTTTCCACCTAATTTTAATAATGATAACAAAACATTTCAATTAAATAGATTTAAGGAGAACTATTAGAGATCAGGGAGTGAATTTATCTTATGCAAAATAAATTATACATTAATTAGAATAACTAGAGTTTAAAGTAATTTTCTGACATGTACAGAACAAATATCAAAGCATATTAAAATACATCTAATTAGTTTTACATGAATAGCATTTCGGTTTATAACACATTGTAATGTAATTTTCAAAAAGAGAAATTAGTAGTCTATTTTTGAATATACTCAGAGAGTTGCTTCTTTTTAAGTCAAGAGGCAGGTTATTCCACATCTTAAGAAGAGAGCTTGATGGTAAATAAAGTTGATAGTTAAGAGATCTTTCTAAGTTTCCATGCTGTACAGTGTAGAATAAATCAACCATATGCTGTACAGTATAGAATAAATTAATAAAATGCTTTACAGTGTAGAATAAATCAACCATATACTGTACATTTTAGAAAAAATCAACCATATACAGTACAGTGTAGAATATATCAACCATATACTGTACAGTGTAGAATAAATCAACCATATACTGTACAGTGTAGAATAAATCAACAAAATGCTGTACAGTATATGACTGATTTATTCTACACTGTACAGTATATGGTTGATAAATCAACAAAATGCTGTACAGTGTAAAATAAATCAACCATATACTGTACAGTGTAGAATAAATTAACCATATACTGTACAGTCTAGAATAATTTAACAAAATGGTGTACATAGTAAATTAACAAAATGCTGTACAGTGTAGAAAAAATTAACAAAATGGTGTATATAGAAAATTAACAAAATGCTGTACAGTGTAGAATAAATTAACAAAATGGTGTATATAGTAAATTAACAATATGCTGTACAGTGTAGAATAAATTAACAAAATGGCGTATATAGTAAATTAACAAAATGCTGTACTTTGTATAGTAATTTAACAAAATGGTGTATATAGTAAATTAACAATATGCTGTGCAGTGTAGAATAAATCAACAAAATGGTGTATATAGTAAATTAACAATATGCTGTACTTTGTATAGTAATTTAACAAAATGGTGTATATAGTAAATTAACAATATGCCAGTGTAGAATAAATCAACAAAATGGTGTATATAGTAAATTAACAATATGCTGTACAGTGTAGAATAAATCAACAAAATGGTGTATATAGTAGATTAACAAAATGGTGTACAGTGTAGAATAAATCAACAAAATGGTGTATATAGTAGATTAACAAAATGGTCTACAGTGTAGAATAATTTAACAAAATGGTGTATATAGTAAATTAACAAAATGGTGTATATAGTAAATTAACAATACCTGTCACAGATATTGACTGCAATCAAGATATGATTAAAACAGTTGTTCATCTCTTTCCTAGAAATATTTAATTTATAATTTGTTTGTCATATTGTCCATCGAACGGATTTTTTAAACACAACCATCCAAACTGAACTGATGTTAGAAATGCGCATACAGCATTTACTGTACACACAAAAATAAACAGTATTTGAAGAAATAGTGGTTAAGCTCTAATTTCAGAAAAGTTTAAAGCTTTACTTTAATGCCCTATTAGGATGAACATTAAGGATGAAAAACTGAGATTTTAAAAACCTAATTTTAGAAAATATTATCATCATTTGTTCCATTATACAGATATGTATACATAGCATCAAACAAGCATGAATAACCCCATTATGCGGTTTTGTTAACAATTCTTCTATATTTGTTAACAATCTATATTTGTACAATTGATAGTAGTCTTTCAGGACGCCTCGCCCCATCTTCTATAGTTAATTGTGGACATTTTCTCTTTTTATACATTTTAAAACAAAAACAAACAAAATATTTTTCGGATTTTATCAAAAGATTTGTGGATTTTCAAAATTTATTGACAATCTAATTTTGTTGGATGCAAATTTTTAAAATGTTGATGATTTATAAACCTTCGCTGGGGTCATATGATGTCCCACACAAGAGTTGAGCCCGATCAGTTCAGCCGTTTTGACGTTTATTGGATGCAAACAGACACACCCAAACAATCCAAGTAGATAGATAAATCTACTATATCTTGATTTGTAAATTTATTGATGGTAAATGCGTTATAGAGTATAGGGTTACTCAAAGGAAATGAGTTCTAGCCACCAACGTTGATTGACTCTATATCTTTGCCACCCAATGTTGAAAACTTCGATATTTCAAACTTTGAATTCTGTTATATCAAATAGTCTGTATATTTGAAATATCAAAGGTTAACACCATGAAGTTGCAAAAATGAGAATATTTAAGTCTATGCCAATAAATGAATTCATTTTTATCTAAAAATTGAATCTGAGCAAATTTCATCTGCCTTTTTTTTAAATTTAACCCTGTAATTCCCTTTATGAAGTAAGATGTGCATTTTTATTTTTGGTCTTATAGAGGAGTGATGATTTTATGTCTCAATTATTATTTGTGTTAAAAAAAAATTATTTCATCCAACATCTTTATGATTTATAAAACAAACTATTCGCATCAAAATAGAATAGAAAAGAACTTTTGATTTGTATAAATATAAAGCTAAATAATACTGCAGTATTATCATTGTCAGCATAAGAAAACAATCATTCATAAAATATGCCACAGAATACACAGATAGAACAAGAGAAGAACTAATATGCCACTCGTTGACTGTAGTAGACTTTGATATCCACCTTTAGCAAAGGGTGTGAACTCATTCTTGTTGACTGTAGTAGACTTTGACATCTACCATTATCAAAGGTTGTGAACCCATTCTTGTTGACTGTAGCAGACTTTGACATCTACCATTAGTAAAGGGTGTAAACCCATTCTTGTTGACTGTAGTAGACTTTGACATCAACCATTAGCAAAAGGTGTGAACCCATACTCGTTGACTGTAGTAGACTTTGATATCCACCTTTAGCAAAGGGTGTGAACTCATTCTTGTTGACTGTAGTAGACTTTGATATCCACCTTTAGCAAAGGGTGTGAACTCATTCTTGTTGACTGTAGTAGACTTTGACATCTACCATTAGCAAAGGGCGGGAACCCATTCTTGTTGACTGTAGTAGACTTTGACATCCACCATTAGCAAAGGGTGTGAACCCATTCTTGTTGACTGTAGCAAACTTTGACATCTACCATTAGCAAAGGGTGTGAACCCATTCTTGTTGACTGTATTAGACTTTGACATCTACCATTAGCAAAGGGTGTGAACCCATTCTTGTTGACTGTAGTAGTCTTTGACATCCACCATTAGCAAAAGGTGTGAACCCATACTCGTTGACTGTAAAAAGGTTATATAAGGGTTGAGGCCCTAGTCCTGAATATATTCTGCAAGCATTTTGCATGCTTTCCCTCAGAGAGAGGGGGTGTTAACACCTCAACTGCTTTCTACTAATGAAATGAAAAACAATGAAATGATGTATTAAATGGCATGTATGATTTGGTGTATTAAATGGCAATATGTTACGGTGTATTAAATGGCAACATATGATTTGGTGTTTTAAAATGGCAATATATGTTACAGTGTGTTAAATGGCAATGTATGATTTGGTGTATTAAATGGCAATATATGTTATGGTGTATTAAATGGCAATATACGTTATGGTGTTTTAAATGGCAATATATGTTATGGTGTTTTAAATGGCAATATATGTTATGGTGTTTTAAATGGCAATATATGTTATGGTGTATTAAATGGCAATATATGTTATGGTGTTTTAAATGGAAATATATGTCTATGCAAAATCACGGGCAGCCATAGTACATTTGAATTTCCGAGCCGGGTCAAACTTTCCGGTCCCAGTTTGTACTGTATCGCCCGGACATTGGGTAAATAAAGCAGACACTCATTAGGACTATAGGCGGTGCAACAAGGTTGACGCGGTCAGCCTTTAGGTTGAATTTACTTTTACTAAAGGGTCAAGGGTGCGTGAAATGAATATAGTGGACAAATATAGAGTCTCGTATCATCTGGTTAACAGTGAAAAATGCTTAAACGATTTTTTGTTGAATTTGGTTAAATTTCTTCTTGTATATACATCACACTTAGATTATTCTATTCAGAAAATCCATCTTTTCTTTTCTGCAACAAATGTCCTCCCCTCCCTTTTCCTCCTTCTGTTTCATCTACTTCTAAAAGAATACTTAAATGAAATGACAAAGAAAAAGATTGAGGAACTTATTAAACACATCTCTATAGAATAGTGAAGACGTTTCATCCTTTGATTTCTTTTGCCGCCAGCATATTACTCTGTAGAGAGAAAATGCTTTTATGGTTGCAATTGAAACTTTTTTTTACAATATGGAAAGGAACCCGATGGTGTTAACCTTTGATATTTCAAACTAAGACTAATATTTCTCCCATTATTAGAATTCCCAATTTGAAATATCAAATGCCTATATATAAAAGTGCAAGATATATAACTTAGAAAGTTAGATATAAAGTTTCAAAAACATTTTTCTCAACAACAAAAAAGATATTGGTACATTAAAGTTGACAAATGATTAGATTACAGAAAATCACATGTAAGTATATATAACATGTTTTTTCCCCACCACGGCCGCAATGACAGGGAGGGAGGGGGGGATTTTTTGCCATGGGGATTACATATTTTGAATCAGAATATTTATTAAAACAAACTTTGAATCAGAGGAAAACTTTTGTATGAGAGGATTCCGGGGGGCAAAGCCTCTTTCCATGTTGTAATAATTTCAGATTTTTAATTTGACTTCACCATAAAAGAATTTTTTTCTTCTAACATATAAAACAAAAGTGTCCAAAATTAGTAATTTTTCTTTATTTCATTTATTGGTTTTTGAATTTTAGAAAATATTGAACAGTAAACAACCGCCCCTTTTAATCTAATATCAGCTCACAGACTACACAGACTGCTTCACAGGGTGAGCTACGTAGGCCTAAGTTGACCCGGCACGACATGCTAAGTTTTTACGATAGGTTTTTAGAGTGCCATCTCACGGCCACTCGTTGAACATAATACCCATTCAGGGTTTAAGTTTTACAACTTTTAAAGAAATACTCCAATTTTAAACATAAAAAATAACATTTATGAACTCACTCTCTTTATATAAGATTTTGTGTTTCTTATCCAAAGGATCCTTAAATATCCCTGAATACAGATGTTTGCTGATTGGTTGTGTACACAATAGAACATGCTGTGGAAAATATCGCATATTTTAGCTAATAATCGATCTCTGTAACTCTAATATCTCTGTATCAGCTGAACTGCAATCCTGTCAACATTTTTTGTGTGGAGCTGATTGCAGGCAACAAGCCAAAATTTTCTGTATCTTTGCAAACTGATTTTGTAAACCTTTAATATTTCAAACTTAGATTATTCTAAGTCAAACATTATAGAAATCGCTATGCAAAAAGGCAACCCTTAAGGCGTATTTTGCCTTTATTTTTCTTAAAAACATACAGTGCTCTCCAAAATAAAATGGTAAATGAGGACAACTGTAAATATACAGGACAGCAATAAAATAGCAAAAGAAAAGAATAATGATAGAAGAATAAAGAGGAATTTGAAAAACGGACCTTTCAGTGGAAATGACGACAACATTGGAAATTAGAAAATTAATGATAAAAGTAATGATAAGCTACAATAATTACAAAAAAGTTTAATTTTTACAAAAATGATAATAATATTCTCCCGCAAAAAAATTAGAGTTTGTGTCTCTGTATACAAATATTATTGCTACTTATTTAATTTTTCTTGATTTTGAAAGTTCGCCCAATACAATAAGGAAAATTTACATCATTTTAATCATTTACGAAAAAAGGGTCGCAGGTGAAGTATTAACTAGAAAGAGGGCTTTAAATCGTTTGTTAATTTATACCCCACCCCCCACACTGTCTACCTTTAGTTCAATGTGTATTCTGGGTCTAATATGTTTAAACAATGGAGTTTAATCTCCGAGTTTAATATAATAATATCATTAAACAGATTCGCTACAAGAACTACAATAATGATTTGTAGTTAGTTCATGTCAGATTCACAGATTTACCCGTGGTACATTTTATTTTGAATTAATATTTTGGTGTTTGGAAAATAAAAAATCTATAAAGGAACTAAGTTTTTCCACAAATTTTCTAATTCCTATATCTTTGCAACCTAATGTTGTAAACCTACAGTCCCTTTAAGCATTATACAGGTGTCTACAGTCCCTTTAAGCATTATACAGTTGTCTACAGTTCCTTTAAGCACTATACAGTTGTCNAGTTGTCTACGGTCCCTTTAAGCACTATACAAAGAATGGTTAAAAGGTGTTATTAACACAGAGAAAGAACAAATATTTTGATATTTTCAACAATATTATTTTTATTTTTCAAATATATCTTCACACAATATCCTCTATATGTTGTGTATAGTGATTCACTTAAATATTATAAAGAGAAACATTATAAATTGGGTGATTTTTATTTTGTTTATTTTTACATGAATAAAAATGATGAATATTCAATTATATTATGCAGTGATGTTGACTTAAAAATTTGCCTGATATCTGTTTACCAACAATGTATATTGTATACCTTATGAATTTTGCTTAAAGGGACTGTCAGCATAATTTCAAGTGACCCTCCAATGCAAAGATGGCAATGCCCAATTCACAATAGTTCCCTTGAAACCTATATCTGATCAATATATATTGTGGAAGATATTGTCTGTTTGTTTTTTGGTTTAAAAGTCTTTCACTTATATATGCTTTCCTGCAGTAGAAATGCGCAAGAAACCACAATTAGAATAATTAGATTTTAAAATTAAAAATAAAGATATTTAATTTATGCTTGCTCAGACAAAGCTTTAAATGGTACCGTTGTAAATTGGGAATTGGCATCTTTGCATAAATAGCCATTTGAAATTTTTTAGAAATCATTTACGACTTAAAAGACGTTTTTACGATGTAAAATTGCTATAGAGCTCTACAAAATGATCTTTGAAATCCTCTTTGGGGCTCGCCGCCATGCAGGTTGCTAAGCAGCACGGCCGCAAAGTATAGTTCTGGTGCAGCCTGGGGTGTGAGCGTCGAAGAGGATTTGAAAGATCGAGTTTGCAGAGCTCCTTAGCATTTATAGTATACAAACGTAGTTTTGGTCTCAAATGATTTCTAAAAAATCTCTACAATACTGTATTCTCTGCTCATCTAAACCTTGAAGATAGGGTCAAGCCTCTTTATCGTTAAGTAATTTTAAAGTAGTGTCTATTCCCTAAATGTAATTGCTTCTATAGCTTTAAGACACTTCTGGTTGTACTTTATTTCCTTTCATTCGCATACAAATATTATTAAGGTTTGATTATTATATTTTCACTTGAAGAGGATGGTAATGACAACCTGATAATGGTTAAGAGATAATTAAATGTTTTTTCTGTTTATGAAAATACTCCAGACCAGACTTATAAATATGTTTTTTCTGTCTATGAAAATAGTCCAGAGCAGACTTATAAATATGTTTTTTCTGTTTATGAAAATAGTCCAGAGCAGACTTATAAATATGTTTTTCTGTTTATGAAAATAGTCCAGAGCAGACTTATAAATATGTTTTTTCTGTTTATGAAAATAGTCCAGAGCAGACTTATAAATATTTTTTTTCTGTCTATGAAAATAGTCCAGAGCAGACTTATAAATATTTTTTTTCTGTCTATGAAAATAGTCCAGAGCAGACTTATAAATATGTTTTTTCTGTTTATGAAAATAGTCCAGAGCAGACTTATAAATATGTTTTTTCTGTTTATGAAAATAGTCCAGAGCAGACTTATAAATATGTTTTTTCTGTTTATGAAAATAGTCCAGACCAGACTTATAAATGTTTTTTTTTATGACGCACTGAAAGGGACTGCTTTTGTAAGTTCAAAGTCGGGCATGCCGATTTCACGACTGCACCCATTAACCCTTTATCCAATCAATAATGTTAAAGGGAGTGTTCGCCAAAAAATGAAATGGGGTATAGGCTTAATGAAATAAAAAAGTGCTTTTGATCGCTACTAATCATACTTCTATCTGTTGCGTCTATAAGGAGAAAATTGTTAAAGACGTCTCATACCGAAGAACGTAGCGCCCATACAAATTCAGAAAATTGCAACATACGACTAAGACCGTAAAAACTTCAAACAAATCATTCAGATATTACAACCTATAGTCATCGATTATCTTTCCCCACATTTGTTTATAGTTCATATTTTAGATTAGTCGCTTTAAAACGCGCTTTTTTATCGCATTAAGCCTATATTCCCTTTCACTTTTCGCGAACACTCCCTTTAAGGATTTTGTCGTTTTTTTCTAACATTCTAATTAAATAAATATTGTTTCTGAAGCTGACAATGCGCCATTCACTTTGAAGAAACTCAACAACTAAAATGGATCAATTTTCAAACAGAAAATGCATTCTTGATCAATCAAGGCTGTTAAGGGTGTCCTTGTGAATCAGACATGCCATTCTATCACAGAAAGTCACCTCAAATTATTTTTTCGTATCTAACCAGCAGGATTATAATTACTGCAGTAAAATTTCGAAAAACTTCTACATGTTGTTAGTAATCTAAACTAAGGTCAGCTGATCTTAGGGAACTGAGGCTAAATGAATTCCACCCTCTTGTAAGAAAGTAAGTATTTATGAAAAATAACAAAATCATGAAAAAATAAGTATTTATGAAAATACCTGAGTAAAACTGCAATTGTGAAGATATTTGCTGTAAGACCAGGAAGACCTAGATAGAAAAATATGCAGATAGATAGATAGATAGGTAGGTAGATAAATAGATAGGTGGAAGGATGGATAGATGGATAGATGGAAGGATAGATGAAGAGATAGATAAAGAGATAGATGGAGAGATAGATAGATAGATAGATAGATAGATAGATAGATAGATAGATAGATAGATAGATAGATAGATAGATAGATAGATAGATAGATAGATAGATAGATGGAAGGATAGATGAAGAGATAGATAAAGAGATAGATGGAGAGATAGATAGATAGATAGATAGATAGATAGATAGATAGATAGATAGATAGATAGATAGATAGATAGATAGATAGATAGATAAATAGATAGATAGATAAATAGACAGATAGATAGATAGATAGATAGATAGATAGATAGGCAGATAAATATGTATATAGATATGTTTGCTTGTTCATAAACGTTTGATGGAGAAGAAAAGTTTTGAATTAAATTAGTTTTAGACATTTCTATTAAATGAAAATGTTAAAAATCAAACCTGAAAAATAAATCAGTTTTGCATTGTCGTTCTAAATTGCATATGCTTGTTTGATTTTACTTTTTTAAGTAACATATTTATCAACCAACCTGCCACTATAGTCAGAACACTCAAGCTAGAAGAGAAATCCTCGTAGAGATTATAAGCCTAGAATATAGAGATTATATGCCTAGAATATAGAGATTATATGCCTAGAATATAGAGATTATATACCTAGAATATAGAAATTATATGCATATAATATAGAGATTATATGTCTAGAATATAGAGATTATATGCCTAGAATATAGAGATTATATGCCTAGAATATAGAGATTATATGCCTAGAATATAGAGATTATATGGATTATATACCTAGAATATAGAGATTATATGCCTAGAATATAGAGATTACATGCCTAGAATATAGAGATTATATGCCTAGAATATAGAGATTATATGCCTAGAATATAGAGATTATATGCCTAGAATATAGAAGAGATTATATACCTAGAATATAGATATTATAAGCCTAGAATATAGAAATTATATGCCTAGAATATAGAGATTATATACCTAGAATATAGAGATTATATGCCTAGAATATAGAGATTATATGCCTAGAATACCTAGAATATAGAGATTATATGCCTAGAATATAAAGATTATATGCATCTAATTCAGAGATTATTTACCTAGAATATAGAGATTATTTACCTAGAATATAGGTATTATAAGCCTAGACTATAGAAATTGTATGCCTAGAATATAGGGATTATATGCATATAATATAGAGATTATATGCCTAGAATATAGAGATTATATGCCTAGAATATAGAGATTATATGCCTAGAATATAGAAATTGTATGCCTAGAATATAGGGATTATATGCATATAATATAGAGATTATATGCCTAGAATATAGAAATTATATGCCTAGAATATAGAAATTATATGCCTAGAATATAGAAATTATATGCCTAGAATATAGAAATTATATACCTAGAATATAGAAATTATATGCATAGAATAAAGAAATTATACACCTAGAATATAGAGATTATATACCTAGAAAATAGAAATTATATACATAGAATATAGAAATTAGTTACCTAGAATATAGAAATTATATACCTAGACTATAAAGATTATGAGCCTAGAATATAAAGATTATATACATAGAAATAAAAATCAAAACGTGATGCCTACTTTCAACAATAGTAATATTGAATCTTCATTTAAAGAATTGTTATGATATATGTTTTGTTCTAATCTAAATAATATTTGAAGTTTCATTCATGTTTGTTGTGTGGTTTTCAGAACAGTCTTAAACCTTGCCAAGTTCTCTGTAGAAAGATATAATGTTTGCTCTTAACCCTAAACATCCGGGGGAAGGGAGAGACCCAAGGTGGTTGGGGGGGGGGGGGTGAAGAAACAATATTTTGTCCTCTTAGATGTTTAATTACAAACCTCAATAAAATAGGCTCCTATCTTGTAAAAATACAACTTTAGACAGAATTGTGATTTAGTGCGGTAAAATCAAAGGCTATGCGACGTTTAAGACGTCCAGTCATGGAATTAATGCAACTTTCCATTGCAGTTTGAATGTGCGTGCTGAATAAGAATATATTTGTAATACTAGCTGAAGGGCTCGGCATTGCCCGTGGAATTAAAAAAAATATTTGAAATTTTTTTACTTCTGAAAAAAAAATTTATTTTTAAAAAATACAAATTTTAGAATTCGTATAGCCTATATTACCCCTAGGATACCCATGGGTTCCCTAAAAAAATCAGCTTATTCTGTCCATTCGTTTGGCCGGCCAAAGGGAACATATATACGAATGTCTTGTTTATTCTATAGATATAACTACTAACTAGCTCTCTGGACTATGTACGAAAAACTCTCAATACCCCCCCTAACCCCCCCCCCCCGTGTTTCTTTTCTCCCAGACACCATCCTCTTGTTGTGGTTGTATAAAATGCCTTCTTTTTGAGCGAAAATTTATTTACAAATTAAAAGAAAATGGTTTTGAAGGCTTTGAGAGCTAGATTTGTACATTTTTTTGAGCCTTTTTAGATTATTAAATGCCTTTTTTTCGAAATTTGAAAATGTAAGTACTTTTAAACTAGAAGTTTTGGCGGTAGTGAGATTTAAAAATCCCAAATAAGAATATAAAATATCAACTTTTATTTTCAAACTGTGGTATTGGCGGTAGTGAGATTTGAAAATCCAAAATGAGAATATAAAATTTCAACTTATACTTTTAAACTGGGGTATTGAGGGTAGTGAGATTTTAAAATCAAAAATCCAAATAAAAAATTGCGACTTTTATTTTTAAACTGTGGTATTGAGGGTAGTGAGAGTTAAAAATAAAGTTTAAATTTTATATTCTCATTTTGGATTTTCAAATGTCACTTTTTATTTTTTCATGAATCTCACTGCCTTAGAACTTTACACTATATACCTTTATTTTATAAAGCTGGGGCATTTTATACCTACAGCCTCTTGTTAGGGTTAACACGGGATAAAGAGGTGTACATCTGCAGTTGTATATATTACTTATAATCCTTACTTCTAATAGGGACTGTTCACCAAATTTAAGTTACCCTCCGTTAAGAGAAATACATACTTGTTTTCTACGCAAAAATAACGAAGATTTCCATATCTTTTTTATCTGAAAAATTGCGGTTTCTCTGTAAAAGATTTTGTGGATTTCTGCAGAATTATAGACGAGAAAGCAAATTACAAAATAAATCATATTGTGTACTGTATTCATATAAGTCATATCGTGTGCTATATTCAAAGACTTATATTGTTATTTATGATTAGTTTTGCTAATAAGATAAAAAAAGTTTGCCTAAAACCTAAAACTTTGGTAAATTAAATTACGTTTGGTAAATGTTGGTTGAGAAACCCAGGTTTGCAAGGAAAACATATTAAAAATACTCACACATAATTAATTTTCATAATTTATTAAATTCCTAAACAGCCTTTATCCCCCTGCAGAATACATTAAGTCTAGATTCCTTCTAAATATAGGAAACAGACTGCAGTATTGTGCGCAGGTTGCTATCACATATATAGATTTACATTTATCTTATACTTTTAAGATTGCACACTGGAAATAAAACCTAAAACTTTTAACAATTTAACAAAAAGTCCTCAGTAACATATTTAAGTTGGAAGATATAAAGACGGCTTCGATAATTCAGTCAGGTTTTGGTTGCTACCGGTCCTTCGTCCAGTGGGACTCATGAAACTGTGGATTTGGAAGACGACATTTAAGCAATCTTATGTGTATTTGAAGTAATTGAAAAGTTATCAATTGTTGAGTAAGATAAGCCTTATATATACAATGCACGGTTCCGCGCTGTTATTCATGTTTGTTGGACAATTTAAATCATAATTTAAGTTTAACTATTGTCCTCCTATTTCACTGCAGTGTTAATGAAGTACATATAACTTTTTTTGTTAAAAAAATTAATTATATGGATGGGGGCATCTTATCTTTTCTTGTTAACGTGATATGTTACTGATACGGAAACATGTGAGAATATTCACAGGCCTACTGATAAATTATTTATTGTAAACTAAACAGGGTGTTAAATAAACAATGTTTAAGATACTAAAGATCTCATCATTGGGGGGATTTATAAACTTTTGTAACATTTTTGAAAACTTATGTAAACTTAAAAAGGGCAGAAAAGGTAACTTTTCACCCTGCTATTAAAATTTAAAATTTCATACCTAACTTTTCTCATTGTAGGGTGATAAAGTTACATCGACCTGCTTTTAAATAATTTGAGTAAAATTTAATAATCCTGGCAAAAACTTTTTCGCACTTAATAATACCTATTACAATGACATAAATAGATATTAAGACCCTGTAATAGCAGGGGTCAATATAATTCCTTTTTCAATCCCATTTGGGATTGACAAATTTGAAAGAAATGGGGACAAATTCTTTAATTGGGGGCAAATTTTTTTATATAATTAAAAATAAAATTGGGGGCATTTTTTTTAGAAATTGGGGGCATTTTTTTCAAAGTGGGGAACAGTTCCTCATCAGATAGTGTAGAATAGTAGTCCCTCCTTTAATATACAGATTAGTATACAGTTCCTCATCAGATAGTGTAGAATAGTAGTCTCTCCTTTTATATACAGATTAGTAAACAGTTCCTCATCAGATAGTGTAGAATAGTAGTCTCTCCTTTAATATAAGTATATTATTATATGTATATATATACATATTAAACACAGTGTCTAGCAATAAACTATATTAAATAAACAATAATAAATGTTCTGAACTTATTTTAAGAAGATATATTTATATATAACTAGTTATATTTTTATATATATAATCGGCATGATTCAAATTTGAACTGGTGGTAGACAGTTCAAATTCGGACTCTTTTGTGAATTGCATACAGTTGTGGCTTAAGGGGGGACGTCCCCTAGAAAAATTAATTCAGCATTTTTTCCCTGCTGCGTAGCTTCAGCGTACAAAATAATTTTTCTTCCAATGAAACTTCTGAATTGAAAGGTGTCACTAGATTTCCCCTGCATCCCATCCCGTGTTTGTATAAAAAGCCTTTTTTTTTCAAAAAAAAGGTTCAGACCTTTTAAAAATTAGTAAAAACGGTAGTAAATCGAATAAATCCAGTGT